AGAGTCAGGCATGACTGAAAATGACTAAACAACAATGACTATGTGCCAGGCACTCTACATTTGATCCTCACCGCACTCCTGGGAAGTAGGTGCTATTCTTATCCCCATTTTACTGATGAGGAAACTGAGGCAAACAGAGGTTAAGTGATTTGCCCAGGGTTACCCAGCTAGTAACTGAGACTGTATTTGAATTCAGATCTTCCTGACTCCAGGCCCAATGCTGTATCTACTTTTGACACCTAGCTGCCTGCCAACATCTAACCCCACCTTGAGCTTCACGGCCCAGCTGAAATGCCGCCTTTTTTGAAAAGACTTCTTTGATTCTCCTCATTCATACAGCACTTTGTATCTTTCCTAGGGCACCTTCTGTATGTATAATCATCCCTTTGTGGACCATATGGTCCCTGCTAGACTGTGAGCTCCTTGAGGAAAGAGACTTAATCTTATTTCTCTCTGCACCAATCTCTCCCACCATCCCCAATGCCTAGCACAGAGCCTAGCACATATCAGGTGGTTGACAAGTATTTTTTTAAATGACTGAACTTTGGGATTCTTGTAGATGCAGGTGGAGTGCTGTAATTCTAAAATGGCCCAGATTGGAATATCTATCACTAAGCCAGCTGGGCTGATCCCCAGGGAGCAATGTCATGGGGCCAAAAATCCACCCCTATGGAACAGCAAAAGGTGGGATAGGCGGGGGTCATAGATTCATAGAAGCCCCCCATTAGGGTATCATAAAATATTAGTGTTGAGACCTCTGAGATTCATCTCCCTCACTTTAGACAGGACAAAAATGAGGCCCAGAGAGGGGAAGTGAAGCTTTGCTTGTGATATTAGTGTAGGTCCTGTTCTATCAATAACCTTAGATCCTTACTCTCATTTATTCATTCGTTCACTCATCAAGTTGTTATTTTGTGCCTACTGTGTTCTAGGTGCTCTGAAAAACAGAGATGAAGAAAGCATTGTGCTGCCCTCAAGGAACTTACAGTCTACCAGACTGTAATTTGATGCTCCCAAGTCTCATTGGTAGCTCTGACTCCACTCTGGCAATCTGGTTACACCTTACACACGCAAAATGGTTATTTTTGGGATTTAGAGCTCAGATAACTTAAAAAATTCAGTCTAATCTCCTCTTTTATAGATAGTGAAGCTGAGGGCCAGAGGCTAACTATTTGCTTGTCTGCCAGATTCTAACAGCCATGACTCAAACCCAGGTCTGCCGATTTCAGGTCCACTGCTCTTCTTACTACAAGCAAGCTGCCTCTAGGGTATGACCACTGAGGGTAAGAAGATGGTTCCTAACTAGCATTAGGGGAGAAGGTGGGGGAAGGTCATGGTGTTTCACGCGTATGTATATGTGTATATGTTTGGGATAAAATGCTTCATTTTGGGCACAAGGCAGAAGTGAAAATCCGAGTTGTTTTCCTAAGAGGCCACTTAGATCACACTCGGCCATCCACGCTCCCTCAGAATCTGTAAAGAGGTCAGCAGACTCTTGCCCCATTAGTTAGCTTGAGGAGCTAAATGGACTGTAATATGTTTGATGCCATGACACTGGCTTCAGTCACATTGGGCCCTGAGCTCTGGACTAATTGGCCCAAACATTATGTATTTGCTTGTGGTTAAGTAGATATACCTTGTACATGCATCTACTTGGTAGCATGTGTCCTTCACAGCCCAAGAAAAACTGCCAAGAATGTTATTGAGTCTAATTTTCATTTGTCTAGCACTCTTGTTAATGATGTCTATTTAAGACATCCATTAAAGGCCCATGAGGTTAATTAAATGGACAATTCCAATAAAGTTCTATTAGACTGTCCCTATTAAATTAATATTATAGACTTTTAACAGATGTCTTAATTAGGCATTATAGTTAAGGAATGCAAACTAAATTAAAATCAAAGCCGCTGTCCAGAAAGAAAGCTTTTTACCATGATTTATGGTTTATTCTGAATCATCTCCTGTTTACTCTTTGGAATCTTGGCAAGAAGAAAGTCATTGGTCAACTTTTCCAGAAGGTGTCGGTGATTGTTCTAAATCGTCTGGTTTCTGGCCTGGGTAAAGTTTGAAACTCCTGACTTTCAGGGGCCTCCTGGACCAGGAAGTCTTCTTAAACAGCTCAGTGTTTTCTCAGAGTGAAATAAACCAATTGAAATAATCATTGATCACAAGCCTAAAAGGAGATTCTTGATACTTCCCCACAAACCACAGATCTCCAAAGATTATATTGCACTGGGAGTTTGACTCTTTCAGGTTAACACCAACTTCAAGCCACTCTCCTTACTGTCCCCAAGGACACATTGAACTAACACTTTTATTCAGTCTGTTCCCCTTGTTTGGGTTAATACCTTCTCCTCTTCTATACAAACTCTCCTTACCCATTAAGAACCAGACCAAATCCCATCTCCTCCATGCAAGCTTTCCTGATCATCCTGACTATACTGGATTGTTATCTTCTTTCGGACCCCTAGAGTATTTATTTTCTATACCGTGCATCTTGCATCATTTACTAATTCTTCCATCCATTCATTTGTCTTGTGTCTTTGATCAGACTGTGGGCCAGGCTAAAAGCAGGGACCATGCCTTATACTTCTTATGCATTCCCCACATGGTAGGTGCTCAACGAATCCTGTGAAACCAATGGGGATTAGCTAACTTTCTCAGTATTAGTGTAGTATGATCAAAAGGCACAAGGACTTGAAGTCGAGGCCTGGCTCCTAGTCCAAGCTCTTTCCCTTACTTGTTGTTTGTCCTTCATTCTCAAAGAGGACCATGATATCAGGAAGGTGATGCCATGATATGCAAGTGAACTGGATTTAAGTGAGAGAGGGCTGTGCAAAGTCACCAGCCTCACTCTCTCCTTTGGAGCCACCTGGGTCAGGATGACTGGAGATGGCCCAGCATGCAGTGGGAAACCTTGGCATTTTTAAGGTAAGGTCTTTAATAGGTCTCAAAAATGGGCAATTATTGCTAGCTCTCCCACATTTATTCTACTTTTTATTAAAAAAAATCTTGAAAATGGCCTTAAGCTGTTTGGAAATCAAGAAAGGATCCAGAATAGCCTTCTTAATAAACTGATAATCTGCTTTTTAAAACTCAGACTTTCAGTTAAGTAAATCTAGAGTTGGATCTTTTCTGCTATATATACACCTTCTTTCCCCCCAAACACTATTAAAATTGGCCAGACAGGAATAAGTTACCTGGGTTCAGTCCTGGTAGCAATGCATAGTTTTTATGTTATGTATACATACACACATAGATATTTCTTTCTATAAGACTCCTTTTAAGTGAGGGACCCTCTACAGGTCAGGACACCTGACCATTCTAATGTATGTAGTGAAAGTGAATCTGTCAGGAATCTTGTAAAGGATATTCCAGGTCAGGTTCTGATTAGACTAGTTGACCTTGTTCTTGGAAGCCCTTTTTGACTTTGAGATTCTGACTCCTCGAATTCCATCTGCTGTGAGGATCAAATGCTGTGAAAGTCCTTTGTAAACTTGAAAGTGGTATACAAATCCAGGGTATTATGATGATGACGACTCTGGGGAGGTACAGGGAGGTCCCAATCCAAGGTGCCAGCAAGTTAACAAAAGCGTGATGGTATTAAGCATAACAGGAAGAACTGCTGGGGACCTGGAGAGCTTAGAGCAACTCATGAGCAGTTGTCAGTACTCTGACTACTCAGTGCTCAGCCCAGTACACAGCATCCCAGGAAAGGAAACAAACGAAGTAAAAGGCATTTCTCAGGGCCTGAGAAGCTCCCAGTCAGCACCATACATCTAAGTTAAGAGACCAAAAGCAAGTGTCCAATACAACACAGGTACCAAGAGGGTGAAAAGGGAGGGAGGGGGAAGCTGTCTGGAGGAAGTGAATCTTGAGTTGGAGCTCACATATCTAAGAGGAAAAAAAAAGGTGGTTCCTGAATTTGACCAACTAGTTTCTTTGCCTAACAGTTGTGGAATGCTGACTTCTTTTTCCTCTATTTTTCAGCCTTTCCCCTTGACTCAGATAGTTTCAGTGGATACACTGACTTAACATTCTTTCCTTCTCCATCAGTAAAGTCCTGACTTGCAACCTATAGTCCTACAGTCACCCAAGCCATTGGTGTTGTGACTTTGTCTCCGCATCTTTGCCTTGCCAGTCCCTGGTATGTGAATCAGTGAATTGTCAATGCACTTAGAGCCTGCTGGGCCCACTGTCTTGTGACTGTCAGTGGGGTTCTGTGCTGAATTGTGTTCTTGGGTAACTTTTAGGGCCCCAGCTTTAAAAGGTAACCTTCTTACTCTGCTGCCTCTACCTCATTCCATCCCCTCCCCCACCAAAAAAAAGTCTGCAAAGAATTGTTCCCACTAGCCACTAGCAGGCTGAAACATCACCATCATCCCTACTCCCCTTGCCTCCCAAACTCCACAGTTCTTTGGCCTGCTTTCAGGATTCAGCTGATAACATGGCTGTACATTTAATGATTCCCTGGGTCTTGTATCAGTAACCAGTTTGCTTAACTGTCTTGGAACATGCAGTTCCTGAACTAACCTGTAATTGGCTACTGGTATGGGTTGGATAATGCTGCATCTACATGGACTATGCCTCCCTTTTTCTTGTTCTGAAATGGGAATAAGGGTACTAACCACTTGCCTCCCAGACACACGAGCACCCATAACCTTCTCCAAAGAAAGGTGATCTCTCCAAGTCCCCTTAATTGGGGATGAGGGAAGAGAGAGGAGAGGACAGAAAGTTTATAATTTTAAGTAGCAAGAAACTCACACTGAAACTTGAGTCAATGCCAAATGAAAAACAGATTTCACATGGCAAGTGGCACCTACAACTTTTCTGGAAAGCAACTGTATATTTATACATTAGAAGCCTTTTACAATAAGTGCTGGCTGGAAAGAACAGGATGGTTTAGGAAAGAAAGTTATAGCACCTATTAAGAATTAATGATACTCAGTTATGAATGTGGCACTTTCAGCCAGTTAAAACAGAACAAAAACCACTTTAAATTAACTAAGAGAGAGATTTATTTCCCCATCAAGAAAGCAGGTAGTTATGATCATAGCTTTCAGGTATGGCAGAAACAGCCAAACATTGCTCAGGAATGTCAGAACGAGGGAGAGACATTTCCCATCAACCTACATGGGGGTCATGGCATCCAAAGTCACATGACACAGAAAATAGGCAGCTCTGGGCTATCTGACAGGCCAGGATCACAGCATTCTTGTCCTCATGCCAGACAAGCCTGTTATCTGGTCTGAATCAATACTCATCCACTTTGTGTGTAATGTTCTCTTTTCCTTAATGTGGAGTGCTTGTAATGAGTGACTCAAAGACAAAGGGACATTAAAAAAGCCCTGTTTCTGTAGGGAAATTTCAGGAAGTGAGGGGGGAGGATGCCAAGGATGATCTGTGGCACACATCTTGTTTGTCAAAGGAAAGACCCTTAAGAACACTGATACTCTTCAGGACTTCCCACTAAAATGACTGAAATGGTTTTCAGCCACTCATCTCTCCTCCCTCCCCTCTCCCTTTCCCCCCAACCCCCTATACCATGAAGAGCTTCACTTGCTTTTAGCACAGACAACACTGGTCTAGGATATTAGAGTCAACAAAAAAGTAAAACCTCCATGTTTTAGCATCAAAGTACAAAGGGGCATATTTTTAAAAATAATATGTTCATTACACAAATAATACATTTTCTTATTCAGATTTCAAAGTTATATTCAAAGATACAGTTTTCTGAAATAGCTTCAAAGAACACCTGGGATGAAGTTTCCGGGAAGTGGAGGGTCACACAATGTATGGGAGTTTGGGAAAGAAAGCCTCATGATCCTCTCTATCCTCCCAAGCGCCCTGGCTTTTCTCTGGATGATGCCACAAAGGCTTGGCACTGGAGAATGGTATCTTCTGTATTTCCCATTTTATAGTCTGCTACTGAGGTATAAAGACTAGATGACACAAAGGTCAATATGCAGGGTCCCCAACTCCTTAATTCAATGGAACTATTAATTTGCAAAATAAGAGCCTGTGATTTTGTAAGCTTCTTTCTGCTGAGACTGCTACTCCAGGGGGCGACAGGCTTGAATCGACTCAACAAATCTCTCTAGAAAATAATGCAATCAGAAAATCATCTGTTTAACCAAAGAGGCAGGCAGACCACACACAGAACTTTAAACAATATGGAAAGAAAAGACAACTAACAACTGAACTGGTGAAATGAGCTGGAAATGAGCTACTCACTGGCCTGGCAGTTATTTTATTTTTTTTAAAGAGCAAGGCACCAAACATAAGCCAGCTGCCAGTGCAGGTCTCCCGCCTTCCTTCACACTGTTCTGAATTGCAGTGACATTTTCTTAAGCAGTCACAAGTTCAGAGGTCAATTGTTCCTTTTGCTTTGAACTTCTTTGCAGAACGCTCACTTGATCGAAGTTGAAACTTGCTCCCATAAATATAGGAAATGAAGCCATCGATCTCTATAGTAAACACACAGTTTAACTTGGGAATAACTAAAAGAGAAGGAAAGAAAGATAAGTGAGAAGAAATTCTGGCACTTGTTTGCTTTTATATATGACATCCTCATTCAAACAATGCTATAAATGAGGAAATAGAAATAAACCTGACTTCTGGTAGTGATGATGTCCACAGAATGTATAGGCAAGTTTTTCTGCAGCAAGGCCAATTTTTAACAAAGACATCAGTCAATGTGATTCCAACACCTAATTTTCACAATCAAAAGCACTGGGATCAGACTTGAAATACTGCCCCAGGGAAAGAGCTGCCTTTGATATGGTTTTTTTAGGGAAGATATTTGGAAACAAGACTCTCAAATTCCACCTTGGTTTGATTCTCATGGAGGGAATTATCTACATGTTATACCATCTTTCCCTCTCTTATTTAACAAGGAGAAAACTAATCTCTGCATCAGAATACCAAAATCAAAAATAAATAACTAAGCAATCAAACAAATGTACAATTGAATTAATGAAAAGAATTCTAAGGTTTTGAGAGCTTTGAGTCTCTAGGTAAGTAGGCCACAATGTGGCAACTTTAAGAACACTCTTTCTTATTTCTTATTCTTTTCTTGAGCAATGACTCCCAATGTATCAGCTTGAAAACACTATTCTTGAACCAAGGATGCTGCCTTTTGGGGCACAGATATCCAAGAATGTGGGAAGATACAACTCTTTATTTCCTCATCCTTCTCTCTCTTCTTTTCCTAAGTCTCAGCATTTTGAAGGGAGGCTGCTGACCATACCACAGTCTGTACTTAGCATTCAGGAACAGACAGAGGGGTGAACTGTCCTCCTGATGCAAAAGGCAGCAAATGGCAAACTCTTCCCAACCAGCCAGCTGGTGTGGCAACCCAGGTTATCCACACTCACAGATACCAGGTCATTCTGGAGAAGGCCCTGGGATCAGAAGGGAAACAGCTTTTGAAGCCAGGTTAATCATTTCCACATTCCTGAGACGTCTGTACAGCAGGCTTTTACAGGATCAGACATGACTACCCAAAGGCATCCTGCGACCAGCACGGCAGTAACCTACTCACTGAATTTTTGTGTGTGCCCTCAGTGCTGTAATACCTACAGGGAAGTGGCCACATACCTTTTAATTTGTCATCTTTGGTAATAATTTTGAAGACATGCTTCATTTCTTGAAGAAGAATTCCCGTAATACCAACATAAGAGGGGCATTTAGATTTTGTAACTAAAGAACAAAACAGAAACAATGGTGACAGTTTCTATGGCCGCTCAGAGCCTTCACATGGACAACATGCAGAATGTCAGAGTTGGCAGGGCCATTTGTGACTAATTAGATCAATCCTTCTCTTCCCCCCAAACCATCTTTCCATCCCCCTCCCTTTTTACAAATGAAGAAACTGAGGCTTGAGCACAAGACATCACTTGCTTAGAGTTACATAACTAGCTGGTGGCAGAGGTGAGGCTCTCAGCCCCTGGTTTAGTGTTTATTTCACTGTCCCTCAATGTCCTCCAGGAATGTACCTTCTATGGTGGCAGAAGCGGTTACTTCTGCTTGAGATATGGGATGTGGAAGTTCCTTTGACAATCTGTGGACGGCTATACGGATATAAGGCATTGTTATTATTTTAATGCCAACCACCAAACGGAGGGGTGACCAATTAATCACTAAGCATAATTCTAGAGCTGAATGTTCATATATATGACTAATACTAGACAGTATCAAGAGGTCTTATAGCCCTACAGAATGAGAGAAGAGACTCATTTTTCTACATGGGTAATATACAGAAGAAGTCTATCAAAAGGCAGTTAATTAAATACAGGATTTGAATATACTACCTGCCTTTCTACTTCTACTAACATCTTCCAATATGCCAGCTGTGATGAATTTCCTGTTGTGGATCATCTCTCACTTCTTCCCTATACATATTCTTCATCCAAAACGGACTACTTACTGTTCTTCCAAAACACATCTTGTACCTTCCCACTTTAAACTACTCCTTATATCTATTATGTCTTCCTTTCATCTCTATTGTTGAAATCCTTCCATTCTTAAATGCCAGTTCACATGTGACCATTCCTTGATGCCTCCAACTGTCTGTGACCTCTCCTTCTCCTGAGCCTTCCAAGCATTTTCTAGCTCCTCTATGATAACAGGTCACATCCTGTTTTGTATTCGTTCTGTGCACGTATTATATCTCAGTCTTACCCGCCCATCCCCACATCCCCAACCTACAACCATCAGCTCCATGAGGGCAGGGGCTGGGTCTTTGTTTCAATGCTCAGCATAGGACCTTGGACATGGTAGGTATTCAGTACACGTAAGCTGAGTAAATGAATGAATTATAAATATAGCTTTCACAAGCTGACCATTTTCCATCTAGCAATGACTTTTCCTAAGGGATGAGGGTATCATAGGCAGTAGATACAATTCTCTTTCCAAAAAACTCATAGCTTGAAAGGCTCCTCAGACAAGTTTGATTTTCAAGTTCTGGGAGGAAAAAGAAGTATCATCTTACCCAGAAAGTAGTACCAATTAATCCTTTTGGCTAGTAACATATTTTTGCTATTGTTATCCTGGAAGGGAAATATAATATACTTTATGTTACAGTCCTAGAGTCCTCAACAAACTTTACTACTGGTGATGAGAGGATGACCTCAGGGGAGTTCCATGGAATTTCAAAGGAAAGGAAACCCAATTCTTAAACCAAGTGAAAGAGAATGACTCTGGCTCCACATTGAGAACATATAAGGTAAGAACCTCATTAGAACTGTTTTTACTTAAACTACATCCCTAGCACAGTGCATGGCATATTGACTTGAAACCTTACTGACATGTATTAAGAATGTAAGTATAGTAATATCCGACACAATTCGTCAAATATACCTGTAATAACAGCACCATGAAGATCTGCTTTTAACAACTTGGCTTGAATCATCTGTGGTTGCCTATAAGACAAAAGATTTAACAACATCACACTCCAGATCCAGAGCTCTGAAAAAACTGAACACATAAATACAACTTCAAACTGATACAGAGAGGGGCAGCTAGGTGGTGCAGTGGACAGAGTACTAGCCCTAGAGTCAAGAAGACCTGAGTTCAAATCCCGCCTGAAGACACATAACACTAGCTGTGAGACTCTGGGCAAATCACTTACCCCAGCTGCCTCGCAAAACAAACAAACAAACAAACAAACAAACAAACTGATATAGAGAAAAACCACAAGACTGGCTTTAATGCTGCGTTTCCGGTAGCAATGAGAGCTAGAATTTGGAGCAGAAGAAATTTAACTTAATAATATCAACTTACGTGTCTGGCTTGAGACCATTGCACAAGTCCCGGATATATTGCTTCCAGAGATCATGCAGAGGGAGAAACAAGCTGTATCTAAAATACATCCAGGAACAGGTCAGAGAGGTTAGGCAAAATGAACCAAAGATTACTATGTGCAAGGTTCGCAAAAATGCAGCACCAGTGGGGAATTGCAAGGTTCCTGAAATACATTAAAAAAAAAAAAGAACCAAACCCAATTTCAAGAAATTAAGCTTTCTGAACACAGTCCCCTAATTAGCAGGGAGTAGCAACTACTAGAATCTCACAGTTCCCTTTCAGTTTAGTGAAATGCCTTCATTTTAAGCAACATCAGCAGGAAGATACACAACCAAAAGATTCAAACAAAGGCATTTATCTTGCCTGGGAGGTGGCTGGACTGACAGCGGCGCTCAAGACGAGGAGAAATAACTCTGTGGTGCTCCATTCCTCAGCTCTACCAACAATTAAGTTCTCAACTCAGAAGGCTCTTGACTCCTGCCTTTAAGCAATTCTGGCACTGATGATGAAGATTCTTTTGACACAAAGCTGTTCGTTTAAGAACTGATTTTCAAGCACCAGGTACACACTTTTCAATACTAAGTGATGCTGAAGACAAGTCTGTAGCTGAGGAGGCATGCGCTTTCCATGAGGAGTGTTATATAAAAGAAAGAACACTAAGTCTGGAGTCAGAAGACCAAAGTTGCAGCATGGTTTCTGATACTAACTAGTTGACGATTCTGGTCGAGTCACTTTGATTCTTTGACCTTTAGCCTCCTCATCTAGAAACAGGGACATCAATACTACTTGCCTCATGGGTTGTTGAGAGAATAGGGGTTTGTATTTCGTAAGGTACTATAGAAGCTATTTAAGTGTGAGTTAATGAGGCACCATCAGATGGTTCTAGTTCTTAGATATATTCACCCAGAAAACACCACTGTAGGCAGGAACCTTTTTCTCTACTCAAAACATGTTGTTTTTGTGACGAGCCTCCACCAACACTATACCAACACTTGTAAATCAGATTTCTCAAACTGTAGTCTGGAATGTGGGAGGTTGTTAGCTACAGCTCTACAAACAGTGGCTAAAAGCAATCATAAGATGGGGAAACCAAGAACTACGGCTAAGGAGGGATGAAGCATCAGCCAGAGGAAGGAAGATGTACTCCCACAATACTGTAACAATTCCTTTAAAACATTTCCAACTCTTGTGGGTGGTACCTTCCTTAGCTATAACACTATATCTAATGCTATTACAAGTGACAACAAAAAACCTCAGATCTTAAGAAGTATCATTTCCTCTTTCTTATGTTAAAAACTTTAACGATAAACTGCTTGTTGCCATGGGTAATGGTTTCGTTCCTGACACTGATCTTAGCAATCAGAACCAAGACAGGAACCAAAAGACAGGCATCCTTCCCTCTCAGGCCATTCTGATTCCAAAAAAAAAAAAAAGTCAAACGTGGAGAAACATTGCTAAAGGAAGGGCACCCCCTTGTGGCCATACATTATAAAAACAAGACCAAGCCGCATCTCACCTACTGTTGGGCTTCCCAATTATAAACTCCCCAAATGAGGCTGCCTATCTTTATATGGAGGTGGGAAACTGGAGTACAGATCTCTCACCTTTGCTGCTCTGGTTTGATTTCAAAGAGGCGCAACTCTCGCCTCTGCTTTGCAGAGAAGCCTTTCGATTTTCTTTTGCTTTCCTTGGGCTTTTTTGGGGGTCGGTACTCTAGCACGATGGCTTTGCGATGAAGGTGCTCATGGAGTTGGGTTTCGGTTACGTGGGGCATACTTCGTTTGAGGAAGGCTTTCACAAAGGCCTCAGCCTCTCGGGATCCCTGGCGCTGGGAGGAAAGAAAGGCATCCCAAGACGGAACGTTTAACTTGGGCCAAGCTGGATCTGCTGCTTGACAGCTTCGTCACAGTTGTTAGTGATACCCATTCCCTGTGAATGTCTAAAACAATTTCTCTTCTTAAAATTACCCTGTCTCATTTCCCTGACTCTTTTATGCCTGTATTTTCATCTGTAACATGGCAATAATAATAATAATAATGATAATGATGATGATAATACCTCCAGTTCCATCTTGTTGTGAGTCACCATGAGGTTGGTAAGCATGCTAGCCGTTATTCTGCAAGTACTCTTCACCCTCCAATATTTCTGAAGCGCTTTGATCTCTTCTTTTGTCCCTTTCTTTCCCTACTTCATACTACACTTGGCTACATACACATCAAGTCTCTCTATCCCAGTGCTAAGAAGCAGCTCATCATGCTCCCTGAGGGCAGAAATTTTCCTTTTCATTTCTGTCTGTGTAACCAGTGCCTTGAATCCATGTTTAATAAATACTTGTCAACTGAATTTCTTCCCCTGTTTTACTTGCTTACGTGTCTTAAAAAGAAAACATGACTCTTTCTTAAGGATTTCTGTTTCTACCGTTTTCCTCAGAGGAAGAATTAAATGAGCTGCACAGGAATTACTGAAAGATTAATTAAGCATTTATATCATATATATCATAGCCAAAAAGTTAGCAAGTTATGCTCATTCCACCTCCATAAGATCTCACACTGCCACCACCTTAGTATAATTATCATAGTCTTAATTACCATGCACCTAGACTATGGCAATACTATTCTAAACATTTTTATTCTTTATTTGATGTTTTACTGATGTCTGTTTTCCCCTTACGGAATCACTTCCCAATGACTCTCTCTTTACGTCATCTCTCCCCAATACAGACCCCTCCCTTTTAATAAGTATTGCTAAGCAATTGGTCACGATCTATAATATATGCCTCACTGCACACTTACAGCCTACCATCTCTTTGCTTTCCCAATAATTTTCTGAAGTCACAAATGACCACTGCATGCAATATCCTCTTAAGAGATGCTACCTCCCCTCTTCTCTACCTTCAATTTGTTCTTTATACTGCTGCCAAAAATACTTCTTACACATAGATCTGATCATGTCTTATGCACTGATCTCTGCTCCAAAATCTTTAGTAGCTCCCCTGTCACCTTCTAAATGAAGTCCAAACTCCTCTGAAGGTCATTCAAAACTTTCTACAACTTGGCAGGACCCTATCCTTCTAGCCTCTAGTACTATGTACAACCCAGCTCTCCCACAAAAACAAAATTAAAAAACTCCACATACTGGATGTCCCACAGACATCAACAAGTCCAAAATTTAACTCATTATTTTTCTCACCCAACCTTTTCCTCTTCTTCACTTCCCTATAACTGCTGAGGCATCACTACTGTCCCGGTCAACCAAATTTGCAACCCAGGTGTCATCCCTGTTCATTCTCTCGTACTCTCCAAATCCAGTCTACTGCCAGGTCCTGTCTAGGCTATCTTCACAACACCTATTATATATGCCCCCTCCTCTTCTATGCTGCTACTACCCTGGTGCAGGCCCTCATCACTCACACCTTGACTATTGCAATAACCTGGTGATTAGTCTCCCTGTCTCAAGTGCCTCCTTGCTCCAGTCTGCCCTCCACTCAGCTGTTAAACTGATCTTCTTAAAGTTAAGTCTAGCCATATCATCACCTTATGCAATAAACTCCAGTGGCTCCCTATTACTTTGGGATCAAATACAAAATCCTCTGTTCGGCTTTTAAAACCATTCACAACCTGGCCCCTTCCTACTTTTCCAGTCTTCTTTCACTTTATTCCCCTTCAGATACTCTGTGATCCAGTGTCACTGGCCTCCTTGCTCTTCCACACATACGCCACCTCTGAACTCCAAGTATTTTCAGTGGCTATCCCTACCTGGATAGGGACTAGACCTCTCCCTTTTCACCTCTGTCTCCTGGCTTCCCTCAAATCTCAGCTAGAGTTCCTTTCCATTACACTGTGAGATCCTCCAGAAAAGGTACTATGTTTTGCCTTGCTTTGTATACCCAGTGCTTAGCACATAGTAGGTACTTAACATGCTTGCTGACTATGTCCCCATGCCTCTATGTCTTTGCTCATGGCATTCCCTGTGCCTAGAATATTCTTTTTTTTGTTTAAGGCAATTAGGATTAAGTGACTTGGCCAGGGTCACACAGTTAGTATCAAGTGTTTCGTCTGAGGCTGGATTTGAACTCAGGTCCTCCTGACTTCAGGGCCAGTGCTCTATCCACTGCGCCACCTAGCTGCCCCATCACCTTCTTTTCTTGTTAACTTCCTGCTCAGTCTTTATAGTCCAACATTTACCACTTCCATTATGCAGCCTTCTCTGATCCCCATGGTTAGTTAGTAAAGGCCATTCCTCCTCAGATATCACATAATTTCCTCTTAAAACATGTTAATATGTTATACACAAATTTATCTAAACTTTTCTGGAATCCATTCTCATTTGAGGATCAGTATGGCTTCTTCTATCCTACTCTCAAGTACCTAATGCCCACAAATATCAAAGAGAAGCCAGTTTATGTCTCTCATGGAAAAGTTTTGCCACAGAGAATGGCCCCACTAACCTCCATCCTGTTTTTCTGAGCTTTCCTTGTGACTAAAAGAACTCTGGATAACATGGTAACAGAATCCTACCTAGTCCTCAGCAGGAAAACAAAACACTACTACCGTAACACTGTCCCTGGAGTGCCCTCCCCTTCTGATGCTTCACTGTGGCTTGGGGGTGACGTGGGTATTCTGGGAGCCAAGTTCTGGCAAGTCTCACCAAACTGCTAAGACTCTGAGTCCATGGCTAGCTAGCCTAGACACGTGCACATAGGCTCTTCTCTGGGTGGGCTGGACAGAGATGAACTTGTCTGTCACCACTCCTAAAGGCTGTCTATAAAGCTCAGAGAGGTGGAGGGAATACCTACTCCCACACCAATGAAATTGAAGGTTCTTTAGGTACAAGTATATGTGGCTTGAGTTACATGACTTGGGCATTAATCTGCCAAGTTGAACAGAAGTCCATTCTGAGGCTACAGGGGGACTCACCTTTAATACAAGGGAAGGTATTAAAGATGGCTGCTACAGGGGGACTCACCTTTAATACAAGGGAAGGTATTAAAGATGGTTTGTGTTGGGTCACTGTGTTGTACAGAAAGTGGCATGTTGACCACCAAGGAAAAACCCAACACAATTTTATCTCTTACTTCTTACAATCAGTCTTGGAAATGGAAGGACTTCTTAGGCAAATTCCCTCCTCTTTTCAAAGGGAGAGTTTATGTCTTTGAAAAAACCACAACTCATCACATGCCCTTGAGCTGGAATTCAAGCACAGCCATATTTATAAAAAACCATGGCATATTCTGATAACTTCAGTTCCCAGTGTTATCTGCTTCCCCAGAAGCCCTGTGACACTCATAGTCCTATATCATTCAACTGGTAGTAACTAATAAGGCCATGCAGCACATGTTATCTTTTCAGGTATGTTTCAAGTCTTGTCTCCCCCTAAACGGACTAAGCTATCTCCAGGCAGGTACCATTTCTAATATTTCTTTGCATCTTTAACAGAGAGCACCAAGGGTCTTTGTACACAATTGTTTAATGACAACTTATTTTTTGAAAGGAAGAAGCTTTTTAATAACTTGATGAGTTAACAGGAGATAACAGTTTTATTAAATTTTTTTGAATCACCTAAAGATTCCTTTTTGAAGAGCAGCTTAAGAGGTGCATTCATTTTTCAAAATTTAAAGCATTAATACCAACATTATATGGCACAAGGGGATTACTGCTTGACCAAAGTGGGTAAGATCCATTTGATACTAGGAGATGTGGAATAAACCTCCTCTTTATGTAACAGTTTTTAGGCGCCAGCAAAGCACAGTGACAAGATCAGACAGTGACTTAAGGGGCAGTTTTGTAATGGACATGACCAAGTATCCCTTACCTCTTGTTTAAGTTCCATATTATATCAGAAAACCAAACAGCTGAAGCCAATTTAAATCTTATTTTAGTAAGATGGGAAAACAAGACTTATTGGTATAAGACACAGATCACTTGAACAACTGTCTCTCTGGTTAAGTCTATTAATCCAATCCAACAATTACTCATTGAATGCCTACTATGCAGGATGCTATGCTAGAAACTGTTGCAGCTAGGTGGCACAATGGATAGAGCGCCTGGTCTGGAGTCAGGAAGACCTGAGTTCAAATTTGGTCTCAGACACTTACTAGCTATGTGACCCTGGGCAAGTCACTTAACTGTCTGCCTTAGTTTTTCATCTGTAAAATGAGCTGGAGAAGGAAATAGCAAACCACTCCAGTATCTCTGCCAAGAAAACCTCAAATATTGAAGAGTCAGATATGACTGAAATGAATGAACAAAAAATGCTAGAAGCCAAAGATATGAAGACAACACAGAAATACAGTTCTTCCTTTTATAATCTGCCCCCCCCCGTTTATATTTTAAAAACGTTTGGGGTAGATAAAACACAAAAACACATCAGTGTGTGTGTGAGTGAGTGAGCACAACTAAGGGAGCTACTAACAGCATCTATGATACTGCTATAGCTTATTTTCAATTCCTGTCGCCTTTCTTGTTTCCTGTTTCCCTCTCCAAACAGAAAAAAATATACTTTTGTTTTTAAAGACTAGAAAATTACAGTAATCAGTTGTACCTGAACGTCAAGTTCTTTGGCCTCTTCTTGAGAGAAAGCTCGGTAAATCAAGCCTGGAAAACAAACCAAAAGGATATTACCTTGGGGCTTCCATTTACACGTGACCCCAATATTTAAGAAAACATCTAATCAGCAAAATCTAAAGATGGCTATTTCATATGGAGGGAAGGCAGAAGCAGAGTGTCAGGCGTTTCAAGCGGTCTCTCATTTTGCTCCAGGGCCATTTTCATCACAGGGATGTTAAGAGGTGGTATGTCATAAAACTTGGGAGACATGAGAACTGCAAAGAGTAATCTTAATGAATCCATACATAATGTAACTACAGCTCAATTTATATACACTCACATGATAGTGAACTTCTGAAGGGCTCAGATTGTTGAAATCTCCCTGAGATCAAGACAGCACCATCTCTTTACTCGTTTGTGTGGCTGGACACTAGCTCAGTATCTAAGTGGCCAGTAAAGCACACAACTTGCTCGAATTCATGCCTGTCCACCTGTGGTGGCTCTCTATACATGAAATGGTAGGAATACTCAAAGTCAAAAGATCAGATTTTGAATTCTGGCTCTTTGACTTATTAGCTATGTGACCCTAGACGAACCACTTAATAATAACAATAACATAAGCTCCTTGGGCAGAACTCTCTTTTTCTTTTTTTGCATCCTCAGCACTTAACACAATGCCTGGTACATAGTAGGTACTTCATAAATGTTTACTGACTACTGACCAGTAAAGTGTTTATTGATTGTTAGCATTTATATAGAACTTAAAGTTCCTGAAGTGCTTTACAAAGACTCTTAGAACCCTAGAATACAGGGTTATTTATAATTATATTATATATAATTATATAACATAGTATATGTTATATATAATATATAGGATAATTTATAAATTACTCAAACTTTACTGATGAGTAAAAAGGCTAAGAGAGTTTAACTTGTCCAGTCACACAGTTAATGAGCATCTGTGGAAGAATCTGAGCTTAGCTCTTCTTGACTTCAGGTCCATCACCGTTCACTGTAGCACTTAGATGGCTCTAACTTGAACCTGTTTTCTGACTTGTAAAAAAGAGATATTATAATTAATAATATATATGAAGTATCTGAATAATTATTCATATACTTTCTATCACAAAGGGTTACTGTGAGGAAAGTCCTTATTAACCTGAAAGTACTATAGAAATGTGGGCTACCACTACAACATATAAACACACAGTTCTATTTACAGTGACCATAAATGGCAGATTTTTAAAGACATTCTCAATTTTGATAAAAGAAATTTTTTTAAAGATGAGGCTTTGCATAAGGGATATCCTTTATCAAATTTGTGTTTGAAAACATACACTATAGTTGCAACTCATTTGAGGATAAGTATGCTTGCTAATGAGAGGGCCATGGGCTTGTTTGTTCTTTAATAGAAAAGAAGAGGGTAAAGGGATAGGATGGGATGGAACAGGATGGGAAACAGCAGCTATGGTAAGAGATCATGGCTATTGTTTAGTAAACTAGTGTTGTAGAAGATAGCCTGTGACGATGCATGCTTCACTGAGATTACCCAGTCTTTTCCAAGCACAGCTCTGCATGGCTCCTTTGATAAAACTTGATATAGTCTCTCATCTGACCCAGTTTTTTGTTATGGCTTCCTCATCTGAACTCCTCCAAGAATTCCTATTACTCTAGCATTTTTCAGTTTACATAACATCTCCCCCCTCCTCTGTACCCCAACAACCCTGTGAGGTAAGCAGTACAAGCATATTATTTTCACGTTACAGACGAGGGAACTGAGCATAGAGAGGCTAAGTGACTTGCCCAGTTATGCAACTGTGGATTTGGGGAACAAGAATTCAAAACCAGGTCTCTCGGATTTTCAGGCTAATGCTCTTTTCCTTGTCTTTGTGATCCTTATTATCACTTATTTGATCTTTTCATATACACCTTATGTTCTTAGCTCCTAAGATTAAAGATTTTGAGCCGAAATGGAACTTGGAGATCAGCTAGTCTAATTCTCTCCTTTTATAGATCTGGAAACTGTGGCCAAAGGAAGTGATATTCACACTCCCAATGTTCCTATATCTGGAACTAGTATGGTACAGTGAAAAGTGCACTGGATTTGGAATTAGAAGACCTGGGCTGGACCCAGCTCTACTACACCATACCTGTTACACTTTACATATACCTGTTCTCCTCTCTGAATTGGTTTCCTCCTTTCTAAAATAAATGAAATGGAACTGGATATTCTTTTAGGTCCCACACCTAGGTCTAACATTTTATGATCCCATAAACCCAGAACTGCAGAACAAGTTATTGTTCAACTACTAGGTGGTTTCCTCTCTTTTTATACATCCCCGCTGCCTTCCACCTGTACTCTCAGCTCCAGAACAACAAGGACTGGATCTCCTTAATGTTTGTGTCCCAGCACTTAGCAGCAGGATGGTCACACAGGTGCCCAGGGGGCATTTGCTGGAAGACACGTAAAAGGAAGTGTAGCAAGCTAATGTCTAGAACAAATGACAACAGACCAGAGTCGTAGATACAGGAGCTGAAGAATATCAGAGATGCTTAGGTCTTTTGGTCATATAGTCCAATTGGCAGATGATCAAAAAGCTCTTCCATATTCCTAAAAAGTAGTCGTTCAATTTCCACGTGGACACCTTCAGTAAGATGTATTCCACTGCTTTTGTTTGTTTGTTTGTTTTTGACTAGGCAATGGGGTTAAAGTGACTTGCCCAGGATCACACAGCTAGTAAGTGTTATGTGTCTGAGGCCACATTTGAACTCAGGTCCTCCTGAATCCAGGGCCGGTGCTCTGTCCACTGCACCACCTAGCTGCCCCGAATCCACTGCCTTTTGAGAATTCCATTTTTGGATAGTTCTAACTGAAAGGAACAACTTCTTCCACTGGACCTGTATTTGGTCTCTGAAACCTCTCCCTCTCTGCCCTGAAGGCAAGAACAAATTTAATTTGTCTTCTACGTGACGGCCCTCGATATACCTCAAAACAATATCACATCCCTCCCTGCATCTTCTCTTCCTTCAATTAACCTGATTTTCAAATTCTGTCTCTGCTAGCTACTACTTCTGTGGCTTTGGCCAAGCTGATTCCCCTCTCACGGCCTTGGTGTTCTCGTCTCTAAAACGAGCAGGCAGGACTAGGAAGTCGGAGTAAGAAGGAGCTTGGAGAAGCCCAGTACAGCTCCTCCATCAGAGGCAGGGACGCTCTGGGGAAGGGGGGGGCGGGAAGGGCTGGCCTAGGGACGCCCCGGGAGGGCACAAGGCCAAGGCACGAAAGTCCTAGCTTTCTTGTACGGGGGTCGAAGACGAGGGCAGGGAGGCCGGCTCCGGCTCTTCCCGCCCGCCCGGTCCCCACTCACGCTCCATCCCGCGCCGCTTCCGGCTCTGTCTGATGACATCGCAAGGCCCGCGCCGCGCTCCCGACGCCCTTTCTCCGGTCCCTCCTGCTGCCTTTCTTCTCCCTTCCAGCGGCTCTACGCTGCACTGCCTAGGCAGCCGAGGCGACGTGCGAGGCGAGGCCGCGACGCCGGTCGCAACTTGAGGACGAAGGGCAGAGAAAAGAAGGGAGACAGGCGGGCAGGTACCACACCGGAAGGATCCGGGGACCAGGCGGGCGCCCGGGGATGACGCAAGCGGAATAACGTCATGCGAGCGCGCCGACGCGGACCGTGAGCGCATGCGCCCCTCTGCGCCTCTCGGGGCGCCTCTGTTCAAGGAACTTTGGAAGGCGTGGAAGTGCTGGCCTCGGCTCCTGTCTGGAAGGCGGCTCAGAGGCCGAGAGCAGGGAAGGGGCGGGGTAGGGACCCAGGAAAGGACGCTCTTTTTCCAAGAGGAGTGGGAGTAGGTGGTCGATAAACGGCCCTGCGTCTTCTCTGCAGCGAGTGAGTGAGGTGGGCAGCCCCCACGGGCTGGAGACAGGGCAGGAGCCGGGCCTGTTAACCGGGGCCTCTTCAGTGTTTGTTTTTGTTTTTTAAAATGCTGATAACTCCATTGCAATTTGGCTGTTTCCTTTGTGATCCTCTTTTATTTTACTCATTTAAAAACATTACTCTGAGAAGGGGTCCGTAGATTGCCAAAGGGTTCCATGACAGAAAAAAAGGCTAAGAATCCCTGAGCCAGAGCTCAGTTACTCCTCACTTGTAAAAATAATGTACTTCCGTACGTATGCGGATTCAAGAACTTATTGCTGTGGGGATTCCCTCCTCCACCAGGACATTTCATTTCCGCAAAAGGCATTTATTAAACTCCTACCGTGTGCCAGGAGCTGGAGAGCTATTGCTTTTCTGAACCTGGATTTTATTGCTATTGGAAACTCAATCAATACAGAGCATAGGCACTGGTTTTTCGTTTTACAGACTCGGGGAGATTCCTGGCATTGAAATATGAAGGGACTTGTCTTGGGTCACAGAGCTGGTGTGTGTAGAGGCAGGATTTGAACCCATGACTTGTTGACCTCTAGGCCAGCTGTTTCGAAGTAAGTTAGGGATTTTGAGAGTAAATACTTTCCAGGCATAGGGAACAGTCTGGACAAGGCATGGAGATAGAAGATAAGAAGTTCAAGACTTTATAATGTGAAATAATGCATGTTCATTTCTCTTGTAAGAAACCTGGTTTTCATATAAATCTCGAGACATTGTGCTTGCCTGTTGACACCACTTCATCGCAGTGCTGTGAGGAAAATATTTTGTAATTCTTAAAGCTCTGAATGTGAATTTTTTTATGGGACGTCTGAGTAGCTATAATGAATAGTGTCATTGCTATTATCTAAACAAGATTATCTAAACCTTAGATTGGAAGCTAGTCTAGATGTTTGAGTTGTAGTACTGTTTATGTTATAACATCATGGGCAGCTCTTTCCCTTTTTGGGCTTGGTTCTGTAACTAAAAGTGAAGGGTGTGAACTAAATGACTTATAAAATTTCTTTCTCTGACATTTCTGCAATTCCACAATTAATAGCCTTATGGGGAAGAGGGTAGAACAAATCCTTACCTTTCACATGAGGGACAGATGCAATTTCTGATGACTGCAAAGATTGGATGGTGATTTGGTCAGAGTTGTGTATTGTGTTCCATATGTTGTGTCAGTGCTTCCAAATTAATAGCCACAATTGGTAGGCATTCTTATAGGACAGTCTTATTAGAATAGAGGTGTCAAACATGCTGTCCAGAGGCTGCATTGAAAGCCTGCAATACTCCTGAGTCCTGCCCAAAACAGATTAAAATGTAATTGGCAAATATTTAACAAAATAAATAAAAATACAGTAGAGCATTGATAATGTTAATATGTAATTTTTTAAAAGTCAATCTGTGGGTCCAGCGATCCTTATGAAAGGTGTAGTGGCCCCATTTTATTTGAGTTTGACACTACTGTTACAGGAGCATTTGCCACTGTATGTTAAAACTGATCATGACATAGAAGGCACCATACTTTGTTACAGAGAAAATCCTAGTCTGAAACTTGGAACATTTTAGCTTCATTGCTAATCAGGGTGATTGTTTTCCTGTTTCTTTAATAGGAAAAAGAGGAGCAATGTCATTGACTAGTGTTAATTCTCCACTTTCTGTGTTTTATCAGCTTTAATGGTATCTCTGTGCAAATAAATAACATCTGCATAGCCAGCCCTCATCTCTCTGTTAAGATCTCATTTTGTATCACTGCCTATCTTCTGGACATCTCCACATAAGTCTCTAGTGGCACTCTCAAACTCAACGTGTATGAAACAGAATTAATCTTTCCCCAAAAACTTACCCTTCTACCTAATGTTCTTATTTCTGTGGATGGTACCACTATCCTTCCATTTCCCCAATTTTCTCACCTCTTTATTCTTTATGCCCAATATTCTGTCATTTGCCAAGTCTTCTCAGTTGTATTTCCCCTGTATCTGTCACATCCATCCTTTTCTCTCCATTCACAAGATGACTGCCCTAGTTTAGACCCTCATCAACTCTTACCTGGATTTAGTAGATTGCTGATTGATCTCCCTGCTTCCCAACTCTCTGATTTCCAATTCATCCTCTATAAAACTGCCAAAATAATTTCCCCAAAGTACAGAGCTCACCATATTACTTCCATATTTGAGAACCATCAGTGGCTTCCTGTTCTCTCTGATAAAATACAAACTCCTGTGTTTATCATGAACTTCTGTACACCCTGGCTCTACCCTTCCACAAATTTCTTATTGCTTCCCCTCACTTACGCCATGTTCCATCAAAGCTATCCTACTTGCTACTCTCAAATTTGGTATTTTATCTCTTGCCTAAATGACTTTGCACAGTCTGTTTCCCATGCCTAGAATACACTGCTGTCAAGATATTAGGAGACACCCTGTTTTCCAGAGCTAAGGCCCAGCAAGCAGGCTATGCCCTGAACTTGGCATAACAACAATCTTTTGCTCTTACCCTCTAGAAGATGATCTCAGCCATAGCAGAATCCCAGAATTGTTTCACAAAGTTATTGCATTGCTTTGACCAGCACCAGGTGTTCTCTGAGCTTGGACAAGCACCTGCTGTATCCATGTTCTGTTCTTTGAGCCATGCTATGAATCAAACACATTGTTGCTGTTACCCCTCATTGTCAAGGTTACAGCTCACTGCATTGCCGTTGGTGTAAGTATTGAATTCTGCCCATACTGCCCCAGCTCTCCGTCCTTCCAGGCTCCAGCACATATGTCTTTGTCACAAACCATTTTTCCTCACTATGAAATTAAACTTCTGTTTGATTCCTGATTATCCCATCTCTACCCTGCTTTGTTTGGCTCTGGCCGCCCATACCTTGGAGAGTGGTTCTGGTTCGGTTGACACTACCATCATATTCACATTTTAGAATCCAAGCTTTAAGGCTCATTTTAGGTGCTATCGGTCCCCCTAGTTGTTAGTACTTTTCCCTGTCCAAAATGACTCTATATACTTTGTCTGCATGTATTACTGCTCTCTCTCCCCATCAAGAGAAGGTAAACTTGAGAACAGGGACTATTCCATTTTTGCCTTTTTATCTTCAACACCTAAAACAGTGCTTTGCATGTAATGGATGTTTAATAATGCTTGTTGAAATGATTTGAATATTCTTTTGATACGAGTGAATGTTCAAGCCCTAGCCTTTGATTTTAGTTCCCACCATATCTTTAGAGCTCAGATCTAAGATTCTGTAAATTCCTGCTATACCAAACTCTACCTTGTCCTTTAGAAAATGGATACTACTGAAAAATGAAAGCATTGATGACAAAGGAAGCAATAATGTTGTTGGATAAGAGTCAGTATTATTTTTGCAGTCTCTGAGAAGGAGAAATAGCAAAAATAAATTGAAAGCTCAACAGTTTGGGATATTCAAGTATAGTGACTTAGCAGTACTATTTACTGTCAAATGGTTCATGAAATCTGAATTTCTCCAGGGTTTTAACTCTTGAAAATCACTACTGAAGTCCCTCTTGGTGCCTAATATATGCTCCTCAACAGACTCTTATCACCATTTCCTAAAGGAGATTTTACTCATTGAGTTGTCCTCATTAAGAAAAGCTCAGTTCTTGTGAATGGAGCATTTGGACGAGCACTACAGCTCTTTGGGGCCACATGAGTGTTCCTTCATTGGATTTATGGGGCAATTCCTGAGGCACTTAAGGGATTCACAGTGAAATCACTGTTGGCTGTGCCAGTGCCATAAATCCAACCATCCAGGTGAAATGGGTGCCTGGGGAGTCAAGTCCACACTTCTCTTACCTTGTCTTCCCTGCTCTCAACTTTGGTGTTGGTATCAAGAACAAGGGGGCCTTTGGGTGAATTTGTGTATAGCATTGCTTATTTTGATAGAAGATTTTGATAAGGGGTAGAATGGGACAACCTATGCAATGATATGAAACTTTAAATGTATCAGCATTGAAAAGGGATGGGAAGAGATTAAAGTAGTGACTTGACTCATTGAAATTAGAGAAAACAGTCAAGAGTACCTGAAGAAGTTTAGCAGGGAGAGATAGTATGAAGATTCAGAAGATGAAAAATTACATTTTTCTCAATTAACCTGAGTACAGAAATTGGTGAACAGGTGAAGGAAGGTATCAAAAGACACGTTACAGAAGTTGAATGACATTTATATAACAACACTTTAAAGTTTGCAAATCACTTTGTATCCATTAGTTCATCTGAACATTACTGTAACCGGTGAAGTACTATAGGCATCATTGCCCCCCTTTTACTAAGGGACTTGCCTCTGGCCATACAGTCAGAAGTACAGTGTCAGAAGTACTATTTGAACTCAGGTCTAGCGCAATGCCACGTTGTCTATTGTTTCTCAATACCTATCTTTACACACACAGCTTGAATACCATCTCTCTGAGACCTTGTCTGACTACCTCAGCTCAAAGGGATCTGTCTCCCTGAACACCAGTAGCACTTTATGTCACTCATTTGGCATATGTATACTATCTTGTTTTATTGGTTATTTTTTCATGTATATCTATCCTGTCTTTTCATCTAGACAATAAGAATTTTCAGGGCAGAAACTGTATCTTATGTGTTGTTATAGCTTTCCTCAATGTCTAGTGCAGTGCTCTTCACGTATTATATATTTAGTAAATGCTTTTTGAATTGAGGAAACATCTTCACATTTTTATATTTTTTTCACAAAGTCTTGCACATAGCTATTAGAGATCATTTAGATTAACTTTATATTTCAGATGAGAAAACTGAGACCCAGAGAGATTAATAGTATTCATGAAATACTTGTTGGGTGATTAACTCCCTAGATTCAATATCTTCTACCCCAAGCCAGCTTTATTAGCAAACAGGACTTCTTTATCTTGTCCCTGAAGAGACTATGGTAGAGGTGCCAATTTGGTATGAAAAAGATAAGGGGGAAACAAATCTGGATAATCCTCATACCAAATGATCTG